CTTGGAAGAGCAATGGCGACAGATGAGGAGATAAAGAGCGAATTCAACCGTAGCGGTTTTGCTCTTGTGGAAGAAGATGAGATTCTTAAGAGATGTAAGCGCGAATAAACCCTAATCTCACTCTGTCTGATCTTGTATCCTTCTCCAGACCACACCAATTTTCGAGTTTTGTTTTGTCTGACGTCTTTGGGGTTCACAGGTGTTACTCTCTGCATAAACTACGGTCTAAAACCTTCTGATCTCGTTTCAAGTTGGGAACTTTATCATCTCAATCGGTAAATCCGCATTTCCCCCTTCCTTTTGGTTTGTAAAACTCAATGCTTTTGATGATGCCCATAGAGATTGTATTGAAGTATCTGTTATAATAGCTTAGCAGCTAGAATTTAATGGGTTCTCGAGTAATGAAGCAATAACCTTCCTATGTGTTTGGTTGGATACAGACAACTTGTTGATCAAACTGTTAAGAAAGATGAAATGGACGGGTTTTTATTGCATCTTCAGAACCAACAGAAAGAATCAATTATGGCAGAGGAATCTGGTCTGCATATATACTCAAACAGAGATGTAGACATGTAAGTGCTATACCGAGGTTTCGTCTTTTTCATGCATCAACTTTTTTGAAGACATACATATTGTTTTTGGTTCAGGCTTTTGGATGTGATTCCTGAAGATACAGAGGAGATTGTCACTACCCCTACAAACAAGTCTCAACGGTTACATACAGATCCATTTGGTTCAATTAACAAATCAAAAGATTACGGGTACTCTTCCGGGAAGTCAGTTGGACATGTGACACCTTTTGGGAGACGGATCAATAAGTTTGTGGTGAAGTTCAACATAGGTAATGCGGCGTCACAAGCAGAGAATGGAAACAAGGATGATGTAGAGAACAGTGAGGATGATATGATCATTAAGAGAGTTCAAACAAGCCACAGGTGTTCTCTTAAAGTCAATGGGTCAGGCCCTGAACCGGGTTGCAGATTCATGTATGAAAGAACTGAAGACAAGTTTAATGCACTCGAGAACCGGATTATAAGGCATGCAGATGCATTTGTTGCATCGGGATTATACAAGGAACTGGTGGATCCAGCTGTTGCTTCACAGGTAGCCTTGGTCGTACACACTACTTTGGTGTCAAATAAGTTTAACATTGGTGTATGGAGTTGCTTACAATGTGCTATTGATTGCTTCAGAGAAGTATTTTTGCGGTGGGAATGATTTGTTGTGATGGAGAAGGGCATTTGAACGACAAGTCTATTCTATTGCAGAGCAGGTAACTCAATTATGGCTTCACTTGTCTTTGAATATTATTGCATTCGGTTTCGACTGTGCAATGGTATGAAGGATATTCTGTTTTATAAAAAACTTGCATATACAGATACATAAGTTTTTTGAAAATTTGGATTTTAGAATGATTTAATATAGATGCTGAACCTAGACATGTTGGTCCTTCATAGGTATAGATGATTAAGTTAGTTAATAGCATAACTGTCTTTCAAACATGAAGCACCTCAATTCTGAATATGCAAAGTTTCTCTATCCTAATGCCAACAAATTCTATAATTGCAGTGCTGAGCGTACTTCAGGACAGCGTGTTCCACTGGACTTGAACAGACTAAATCAATTCTCAATTTTTCCAGGCCAGGTGATAGCTTTAAGCTAACAACTTTAGGTTTTGTGTTTTTTTTCCACTGAAGACTCGTAATATTCATGTGGAGGTGGTCTAAATTTGATGCAGATAGTTGGCATTGAGGGACAAAATCCTAGTGGACATTATCTCACCGCATCCAAGCTGGTAGATTCAGTTCCTTTAACACATACTGCTGATGTGGATCTACCTCCTGCTAAGAAGCAAAACTTAGATCAGGAGGTCTTAACTCCTGAAGGAGAATCTCATGAAAGATCAGAGGTTTCATTTGTAAGTATGCAATCCTTCATCTCAAGGAAGCTGTATTAGTGATGTTTTGTTTGTRCTCAAGGAAGCCATTGTTCTTTTTATTCTGGCACATTTTTTCCCTACATACCCTAGGCATATTATATATCACATTGATCAAACTGCTGAGATGAGGGAAATGCAGAATGGTGAGAATTTTAGAGACCGCAAAGCTGTTTTGGTTAGCTAGAGTTGCAACTCCAAGGACTGGAGCTCCTTTAGTTATTGTCTTCGATATTGCCTTTAGCTACTGACTTCAAAATTAGTATGKTGTGTTCCCATTTAATTTGGTGATAGGTGAAAAMTTTGTATCTATGTATGCTCTGTTCTGTTTTCATGCATAGATATTAAGTTGTCATTTTCAATCACAAGGGTGGTTTTTTTAGAATCAGGTAGCATCAGCTGATGCTTAAAGGTCTTTATTTTGACAGATAATTGCATCCGGGCCATTCACAACAACAGACAACTTGCTGTTTGAGCCACTGAACGAGCTACTAGCCTATGCAAGAAGAAAGCCACCACAGTTACTCGTGCTGGTGAGTAGCTAGAATGTATTCAGACCTGCGGTAGAATAAATGTGTCGTTTGTGTCTCGCGGTTCACTTACCGGTTTTTTCTAAACTCAGCTTGGACCTTTTGTGGATTCTGAGCATCCAGAGATTAAGAAAGGAGCTGTTGATGCCACCTTTAATGAGATATTCCAAGTGGAAGTCCTCAAGAAGGTACTAAAATTACGACATTAGATATATTGAAACACTGACTGACTTTGGAATAAACAAAGATCTCTATGTTTTTTTGAGTTTCTCAGTTGCAAGATTATGTGGAATTCATGGGTTCAGAAGTACGAGTGGTTCTGGTGCCATCCATCCGCGATGCTAACCATGATTTCATATTCCCACAGGTGCCCTTTTCTTTTTCCCTCAGAATCTCTCCTCTCTTTTACGCATTGCTCTTTCCTATTTTGACATGAGCAGTTTCTTCTTGTGTTTGCAGCCTCCTTTCTACATTCACATGCCTGATCCTGAACGTCAGGTACTTAATTCTTCTCATTAACTAGCTTCCATTTCATCACTCAACTCTCCGTGCCAGGCGGAAATCTTTACTCTATTCTCTTCTCGCCTCTCACACATACAGATAACCAGTCTGTCAAACCCGGGGACCTTCGAGGCAAACCAGGTAATAAAATCAGTGATAATTCTCTTCTGAGAAGCCATATTCTCTCAAGTCCTTACAGCATTACATCTATTGGGGATTTTCAGGTGAAGGTAGATTGCTGCACGGTGGATGTACTAAAACAGCTGAGTGGGGAGGAGTTTTCGAAAAATCCAAGTGGAGTCCCCACTGATCGCATGTCCAGGCTCGCTAGCCATCTCCTCCGCCAACGAAGGTATACCACTTTACTTGGTCAAACTATTTTTCATAGCTACCAAATACTCAAAAATGCATTCTTATGGAACAGCTTCTATCCTCTGTATCCACCACCCGAAAGTCTCCCTTATGATTCCTCACTCGCTCCTCAGGCGCTACAGATTTCATCAATCCCAGATATTCTCTTGCTTCCATCAGACATGAGGTACTTCGTGAAGGTCAGTCAGTATGTTTTAATAGTGGCATCAAATTCAGAAGCTAAAGAAGTTGTGATGTGAGTTACTTAGTTTTTTTCCTGAATGTTGTGTAGGTTTTATCCGTTGGGGAAGATGCAGCCAAGTGTGTGTGTGTAAACCCGGGAAGACTTGCGAAAGGAGAAGGGGCAGGTACTTTTGTTGAGCTTACCTACAAGGGCGGTCCAGAATCGATGCACGCTTCCATCATCTCTATTTAAACACAGAATCTACAATGTTTGGCCAACTTTTTGCTAATTCATATATAAGAAAATGCCTTTGACTCCTTCTCACTTTTGTTACCATCAAGATTCACAAAATAGAAAAAACACAGAATCTACAATGTTTGGCAATGTACTCTTTGGATGTATAGTAAAGTCGTATCCCCATCAAGATTCACAAAATAGAAATCCAGAGAAGTAAATTGTATGGAACAAGTAACACCTCTATCAACAAAATTACTCTTTATTAATGTATTTAAGACATTCATAAAACCAAAATTGCTCAATTTAGTAAATGTAACACACCATTCATTCAATATTATCAAAAAAAAGTTCAACTTCATGATGCCAGAAGCAAAACTCACAAGCCGAAGAAGTATTCATGTCGTTGTCTTCACCATATCCATGCCAAGCACAATTCTTTCGTAAGAACGTCTTAGTTTGGCCATCACACTCGCACTTTTCAGGAACATACGTTCTTTTGAGCTGTTTCATCACCGGTCTGCCGCGCCACCAAAGGCTGTCTCTAATCTTGTACCGAAGTTCCACAAGCTCCTTCATGGTATTTGACATTAAAGGCTTCATTAAAGAAGACAAGATCTTGAAACCCTTTTGTTTTGTTTTGTCTCCAAAACATATTAGGACCATTCCATAAACATATATTGCTTCCTTGTTTCCTTTTTCCGCAGCTTCAGTTAATAATCTGAGTCCTTTGTGTGTATGGTTATCCAGAAAGAAATTGATGAGCCCTTTGCGGTACAAGGCCTCGGAGTTTCCGCTCCTTCGACATCGTTTCAAAAAATTTGACCTTTCAGGGTTGTGAGTCCATGGGAAAAGAGGGATTTCATCAAGGGATAGCCGGTAGAGAACGTATTTATCATCGCAGATATGCCGAAACGATTTCGAAACTAGCCTGAGACTACGAATCGCTGACAATACGAGAAGAGATCTCCACATGAAGTTCTTCTGGTAAAGAATCCAGAGAAATTCTTCTTTTGCGGGATTTTCTAAAAGAAGGTGATGAAGACAAAACAAAGCATACCATTTTGAGATTGAAGGATACAGAAACTCATTTCTAAGTTGGCCAATTTATATAGAGGCCTGAATTCGCTTTACCTCTTCTTTTTTTGAGAAGGAAAATAAATAGAGATAATATGTTTACCTTAGTAAACGTATACTCCCTCCGCCGTTTTGACATTTTTCACACAAATTAAGATAACATATTTAAAAATTCTATTATCCTTCTAGAAAACAGTTTTGACCATTGATTCTACTATTGGACAGAATTAGGGATAAACTCTAT